TTTAAAAACCTCTTAGCAGAAATCACACTTTAATTAAACTGCCACAGACCTAAAAGAGCAGAAAAATCATTTCAGTCTCTTAAGTCAATGAAGACCCATCGTAGCAGTGAGATAGGTGCTACTGTCAAGATTTATGGAAGCTACTGCAGCATTCATGTTGAACAACCACAGACTTAATTCCCTGTCAAAAATAGATGAGTCCTGTATTTACAGTAAGAATACTATCAATAAGGATCTGTTGGCACAACTTTATTTCCCCACTTAGAAGAGATTCAGTAATTAAGTTGCTTAACTCCAAGCGTAAAGATTTCTATTCTAGTGAAAGTGAAAATGACCTCAGTTAGCATTCCTAACATTTACTGCTGTAACTTTAATCGCATGGCAGTTTGCTGAATAGGAGAAATAAGGTGAATATTTATATAAAATTATATATAAGCTTATATATATATATAAGCTGAATACTTTTGTTTAAAGTGAAAGCTTTTGTTTGCTTTTAAACCTTTGGGACTGCAAGCAAGTTTGCTATTTTTCAAAATAATGGTAACAAACAACAAACTCAATAGCAAGGAAAATAAGGGGAACCATTCACAGTGTAAGGCTTTGTCTACAATACTACATATATCTTGCCCAAAGCTACTCATACTAGGAGGAAAACGAAAGAGCTGAACTGCTATCTGACTTCCCTTAACTACAGATCCATCTTTTAATACAGTATGGCGTGAGTCCTCTAATGGTTATGGGCAAATTATCTTCCATAAAAGACTTCCAGCCTACCTAAATCACAAGGCAGCTGCTCAGTGCAGCAGTTAGGATTTGCAAAGTGACAGAGCAATTCTGAGGAGGATATTCTTCCAGTCATTAGTGACTTCAGCAGAGATTTTCATCTCAGTAAGTGCACAAGAAGATGGAAGATGATTTAGTAATGCACCTCAGTAATCAAATGCATACATTAGTCAGAAACCACATAGCAATGGTAATGTGGTATGTCACAGCCATCTTTATATCCTTCCAAAAGCCACAGGCGGAAGCATGTGCCCAACCCACTCACATAGTGCCATTACTACAGGCCAAAACATTTTCAACTTCCAAGCATCATTCTTCTCCCAGGGAAAAGCATGAATAGCCTCTTAAAGGGCTGTTCTAATCCTAAATTAGCCTAAGAAGACTACCCAATGAACATTTTCTGTGTACTAAGGGTACCACACAAAATAAATGTGAGAAAAAACATTCAGTTAGGTTTGTCCTTAAGCTCGTCCCAGTCAAAACCAAGCAATATTCAAAGTATTATTCATTGAAAATTAAAATACACAGTACATAGAGTATAAGGCTTAACTTACAGCATCTTGGATGGGACAGAGGGAAAAGAAAGCAACATTCTCAATAGTTCAAACACTACTTTAAAACATATACAACCAACTTATGAAGTAACAATATAAGCAAGCAACGATGGTAACTCACAGGAACATTACAGAGCTGTCTTCTGTTACAGAATCCAACCCAGCTGAAGCAGTACAGGACAGATTGCTATGTACAACCCACCATGCAGACAAAAACCACAACCTTCTGCAGCAGATGTCTTTATTATGTATTTTGAGGCTCTGAGACCGTTATTGTTGCTTTATGCTGACAGCTCTACAACAGGGTACATACTATATAGATACATACTTCCACATTTTTAGCTCTGACATTTTACAGTAATGTATTTTTAAAATGAAAAGTCTGTATTCCTCATTACTGCACTTAATAGCCTCGCAACTGTAAACTAAAAGAACAATCCTTTCTCACCAGCTTGAGGAATGCTTTGAGTACCAAGCACATAAATTCAAAGCTTTTTCCACGTAGCGCAAACTTCTATCCTATCCTGCTAAAGCCAGAAGAGTCACAGGATTAACAAAGACCCAGAGTAACTCAGCTTGTGTCCTCCTAAAAAGAGTTCAAGCATACTTCAGTCCCCCTACACCCTCTTTTCTCCCCTTCCTCTCCAACCCAGAAGTTTAAAGTTCATCATAAACTGGAGAGCAGGAACGAAATACAGTATGAAGCAAGAACCCATCTAGATTGTGAAGCTACTCAAACTTTTTCATTGTAGAGATAATACTTAATGATCCTCTCTTTTCAATCTGAATCCTTTTAATAGATTACTTAGACTTGAAGTGGCAGACACTAGAGCTTTTAAATTACAGTACGCCTATCATGAAATACTTGTCCACTAACACCTTCCTGCAGACATCTACAGGCTACAGATGAGTGGACTTTGAGAAAATAATTGTTTCATTATGACACTCATAAGAAAGTCCTGTAAAAGGTTTACATTTTAAGGAATTAAGGAAGCATTTTTTTGTTTCCTTGTAGCATCCAAGTATCAAATAATCTTCATGTAAGACAGAACTTGGCATCTTAGTTTAACGCACAAATACCTAGAAGGAAAAAAAATATTTCCATTTTGACAGAAAATTCCTGTCTGTGCCAGACAGACTATCATTCCAACAGAGATCCAAGAATACCATCTGGCTGGCTGTGTCATTCCAAGACTAGTTCTGTCAGGTGGCAAAGCTTGCGAGAAGAGTTTGAAAAGGCCACAGAACCAAACAGCACACTAGGACATTTCACTTAAAGGACCATAAAATAATCAAGTGCCTTAGCTAAATATTAAGTAAATGCAAACACTGTTTTGCTAGCTTACCTAAACAACTAATGCAAAAAAAACAAAACTAATGCAAAAAGCTGGCTTACTAGTTACAGGAAACTTGGATGCTTTTGGATCCCACACAAAACATACTCGAATGTCCCGATTTCTGCTGGCATGGTTAATTTTCTTCTCTGCAGCTGGTATGATGCCAGGTTTTAGATCTAGGAGGAAAACGATAACACCCATGTTTTATTTATTGCTGAGCAGCGCTTACACAGAGCCCAGGACTTTCTGCTTCTCATGCCACCTTGCCAGCAAGGAAGCTTGAGGTTCACAAGAAGCCAGGAGGGGACACTGCCACACTGCTGACCTAAACAGGCCAAAGGGATGTTTCACACCACAGGGCATCATACTGAATGACACTGGGTGCAGTCGGCCGGGTGGAGGAAGTGCTGTTGAATGAGCAAGCTGGAAGTCATTTGTTTTGTGTTTCTTCCCTACTAAATTGCCCTTATCTTGACCCCCAAGTTCCTTCCCCCTCCTCTTCCCTGCCATGACTTCCTAATCCCACCGAAGGGGGGACTGAACAAACAGCTGTGTTGTGCTTGCCAGGTTAAGCCACAGAGACAAATCAGAATTTGTTTTGCTTGCACAAGTTTAAAAAAAAAAAAAAAAGCATATCCCTAAGAACCCACTATTATACCTACCAGCTCCCAATTAACATGGTCCACTCAATTTAGGAACACAGGAGGAACAAACTTGCAAGCAGCTAATTGTACACCGACTTTCAAAATGCCTTCAGCTACAGCCATCCTAAACAGATGTTTTAGCTTTCTAAACGCAACACAAAAGAGATTTACCTACTACTTTTGTGTTATGCTTATAGGGTACTTAAAACAAACATTAAAGATGTATGTTCTTAGTTATAACTTGTTACTTTCAATGGTTTATGCCACAAAATGTACAATTCCCAGATGGGAATAATTAAAAAAAAAAAAAAGTGTTTTCTATGGGTGAGAAATGGCTAACAAAAGTAGCTCAACATGATCTAATGGAAGAGAAAATAAATGGTGCTTGTAAGGCCTGAGCTATGCATTTCACTAAGCCTTCTCAGCATGCTTATAAGAACAACTCATATCTAGCACCAACCATTTCAAACATACTGAACAATCAACTTGCTCACCAGATGGTCTTAGCAGAAACACTTGGTCAAATAAACATAAAATTTGCACTTTATTTAGATATCTTGTTTTTATCTCTTCTTTTGGTGTTAAGACTCCTCAATGAAAGCTACATACAAGCATATCATGTTTTCTTATAGCACAACATAAAGAATCAAACACATCCCAAGGCAATCAAGCCAACAAGAACATTAGGCCAAAATGAATTCTGCATTTGCAAAGAAACAATTACCTTTATCAATAAACTGACATCACAGATGTAACATTACAAGTAGGCTGCTACTTAGGTACTTAAAGCTGCAAAGGAAAGGGTCCTTGTACTCAGAAAACTCCAGATTACTTGTATGTGGAGTTTAATTGTGTACGATTGAAAACCACTTACACAGCAGCGTGAAAGTATATCAAAAGAACAACACTATTAAAGCAATAGGTTGACAAAAACATGGTGACTGATAGTGCAGAAATACACTTAAGGACACAGCATCTTTAGTGATAAGGAACAGTCTGAGCCAAGACAAAAGTGAACAACTCTAAGTCAATTTATGCTGCCAGAAGATTGTTTGAGTAATTTTATGTGGAATTGCACCAATTATTGCTATCCCCCAAGCCCTCTCCCCTTCCCCTCCCCCCTGCAATTTAATAATCTCATCTTGAACACTCCTACTCCTGAGCGACAGTCCTGGCACATTTCTGTGCTGTATCTTATAGTCCATCATCCAGGTCTGTAGCAACTCAGCTCTTACTGCATGTTTCACTGACATCTACTTCTAGACATCTGAAATAGGACATGCCATTCCATTCATTCATACACACACATCTACAAAGGAGTATTTTCCTTTTTTATTTGGAGAGATAGGGTAGAACTAAGAATAAATCAGACTAGGACTCAACACACACACAAGATTGAGTGCTGTTCTCAGTTCTACTCTTTCAAAAGTGCAGGCAGGAACTAACCCAAACATGGAAGTTGTTACCCTACATAAGAATTCCAGTTACAAAAAGCTTATAGCAACAGATCTTCAATTCCTTCAATAAATACTATGCTGCATGCCTTTCTCAAAGCAGCTTAAAATTAAGAAGTATTATATTAGGATGTCACTCACACCAGGAAGGTTAAGTCAAAATAAAAAAATTTATTGTTTCAAAATACATGACTAAAATCTACATAATTATTATTAAAATATGCTTACATGTATTCTTTGATTAACACTTTGCATCACAAAGTTAGGCATATTTTAAATGCAGTATTTTCTCACAATTTTAAGATACAGGTATTGCTAAAATTAATCCAGTAAAAAAAAAAAATAATAATAATCATACTCCCCTGAGCAGCCAATGTAACTAATTACATTCTTGCATCTTAAGTTACATACAGGAATTCTAGTATTCACACAGATAAATTGTCATTAGCCAACAAAGACATTGATTATGTATCTAAAGAGAACCAGGACTTAAAAGGGGCTTCAGTTGAGTTACACCTTGACATCTTCTGTTCCACTGATTAAGAGCTCAGTTTTAAAATACTCCATCTTGGACAAGGAACTGCTTCAACTTTTGAACTGCAAGAGGTAACTGGTTGACATTAGTAACTTAAAATTGTGGTTTAGTAAGAACTAAATTTTAACATGCAACAAACTGTACCTTAAAGCTCAGAAGAAAATCCACATGTACCAAACAAACCAAGAGTGTTTTTCTTTTCCCCTTCCCCATGTAAGTTCTTTAAAATTAGCATTTCAGTTAGTTAGTCGGAAAAGCATGCAAGCTAGTAATAAAACCTGGAAGCATTTCAACTCTACAACTTCAAACTTCTCAAGCAAAAATAGCTATACTGGAACAGGTAAAACAGGAACACAAACTTCAACTTGAAGCAACTTTCTGAAAAAAGGTTACACTTTTTACTACACATGTTACTAAACTGAACTGTAAGAACATCAAAGTAATACATTTATGTACTTCAAAGTCTCTGTTGATCAAACACTTTTGAGCACTGCTCTTCCTTTTCTGAAGTGATGCGCCCTCCTCTCCTGGAATAGGAGAAAAAAAAAAAAAAACAAAAAACCATGCTTCCAGACAACAATCGCAACAAAGCAACAAAAGCATCACAAATATCTCAAGACATTCTCTGTATTACTCAGTCCTCTCTAAATCTGTCAAACACAGCTTCTCTATTCTGGCTTCACAGTACAGGTGTCTAGTTCACATCTGTCTTTTTAAAACAAAAAAAAAAGTAGCAGGCTTTTAGGTATAATGTTGAAATCCTAATATAAAAGAAGGGAATGTAATCGGGCCTCTCTGAAGACTGAATGCACAGCAAAAAACATCCCATTAATACCAGGTACTGATGACCAGGTATTGATCTAACTACACTCTATTGTAGAAATTTACTTTTTAGCTAAAGTACAGATAGACATCCACAGTGAGTACTTAAGTGGAGAAAAGACCATAACCATGTAACTCTGTTCTCTTGTTCACAAGATGCAATCTGCTTACCTTTCAGCAGATTGCTCCTGAGGGATGATTAGCTCTAAATACCCAATAGCTGACTGCTCAGCAGTTCTCATGCAGCATTCTATCAATGCGCTTAAATCCACTGAACTCAATTTCTGCAATTTTCTTTCAGTATTAACCGACTGAAAGCTAACCATTCATTCATCTCAGTGCACATACAAAAAATAAGAACTCAAGCAAGTACAGATCAATCTTTGTCTTTATGGTATCCTGTATATGAACAAAGTTATGATCAGCTGCTTTCAGAGATTTAGTTTTGCTTCCACTACATACCCTGAAGTAGTCTTCTTGTGATACAAAGCTGTTCCTCAGGCGGTTTTCAGGATTAAACAGACAAGACACTACTGTTTGTATGCTCCTGTCCACAGACTTCTGAAATAAAAGAGATGCCTCTATAATAATTCTATCAGTTGCCCTACTACTAGCAGTGAGTCTGTCACAGGGTTTACACTTCACTCAGAAGTCCTTTCAGTTTTCTTCCTGAATTTTTCCCTTTAATGTTGCTAATTGCTTTCAATGCTCCCAGTTGTCATTTACAACATAAATGTTTTTATCAGCGACAAGCCAGTACAGAGCTGCGTAAGAGGCAGACAGGAGAGCAATAGTCTTCTTTAAAGAAAGGAATTCAGGACCAACTGCTGGCCAAACAGAGATAGCTTTCCACAAAAGCAAGCAGATAAGAGAGTAATAAATTTCACCCATCTACATTTTGAGACTCATAAACCTGAGTAAGATGGGAAGTGCTACCCAATCTGCCATTTTAGTAACTGTAATTCTTCAATAATTCTTACCAGATTAAGAACATCTTGACGTGATCACATTTTACACATCCCTACACTACAGACTAAGTATTAATAGCTTCAAGAAAGCAAGATAGCCTTCTGAAATCATGCAGAAATTACAGTGGATTAAACAATGGCTGAAATGATGATTACAACCTTAATTCTAGAAAAGATGAAGAGGTCAGGAGACCTCTTCAAGCCACGTAGCCCTCACACACAAAAAACATGGGAACAGGTCTAACAGTAAAAAATGCTCTGAGAAAACTTACTTTTTGTGGACTATTACCAGACAACTGTGTGGGCTCTGGAGCAGCACATTCCGTCTGTATAAACTCTGGATCCTCACTGTAGTGATAGTTTACTGAAGTATAAACCTGCATATTTAAGACAGCGCAGTATTTTAGTAACACTACAAGAACATGCATAACTATGTTGTCACTCGTTCCCACCTACCAAGAGGCAAAGCCAGCCTTAACCTTTTGGTATAGCTTCACAGAAGGGGATAACTGTATCCTGACCTGTTTTAAAGACAGTTCTATCCCCTTCCAAAAGGAATACTTTCAAATACATGTCTTTCCTCATCACTGTAATTGCTTTTGAAAGCTAGCTCCTCAACACATCCTCCATATATAGATTTTGTTGTCAAAATTATTTAGCAAATACATTCCCTCACTAACAGAAATACAGACTTCCCTGTAATACAGAAATGCTTGAAAACAAAGCTGAGAGCACATGATTTGAACTAAGTAATAATAAAGTTTTCTTCTAATATGATCAGAGACAATACATGAATGCCAATAGCAATATATACGCGTGAAGTTTTGTTTTCTGACTCTCACCTCTCCCACATTTACCTCCCAGAGTCTATATACATCTGCTGGGAACAAGCTTGAAAGATAATAGCTCTTAAAACACTTCATAGAAATAGCACTCTAAAAATACAGCATTTGAACTGAGGAATAGGAGATGCAAGTTTTTAAGATCCAGTGCAAATCCTGCTAAAGAAATGTTGTATAATGTTCCTCTTGTGGATGTCACTTGTGTGAAGTCACAAGAAGTTATCTCCTTGGAAGCCATCAGCCACCTAGTCTGTAGCAACCTCACTAACTGCTCAGAAGAGCTCCTGAACTAAAAACATTATCTGCAGGGAAAAATATTCTGAAGATTTTTACAGGTCTGCAAAAGAACTGGAACAACCAGTAGTATTTCCACAGATCTTAAAAACACAGCTTGTGCATTAGACGTTATCCTTCCTTCAGCTTTGCATGAAGAACAAATCTTGATTCCATATTAAAATTCCAGAATTCAATAGCTACTAACAATATAAAACTGGTAGTTCTAGTTCAGTCATACAACTTCTAAACTAACACATCAGAAGGAAGGCCTGAACAACTATTTATGTCAGCAACTACAGAGTGGCATAGACTGGATTCCACACAGACCTGGTAAACCAACAGTCTGATTTTTATTTTTTTATTTATTTATTTTTTTTTTAAGTATCAAAACACTTAACTCAAAGTAAATCCTGCAGACTTACCGGAGGCATAACATAGTTTCTTTGCTCCCCAGGAATCCATTGTGGTGGAGCCTTAAACAGGAATTGAAGAATAATCAGCTTTTATCTATCCATTTCCCACACAGATAACTGCTCTTTAAGAGGCACAATATATACACACACCATACTTCACACCTGGATTTTTTCATTCTTACAGTTCTTTCTTAGTGCAGCATGGTATCTTTTTCATGTGGACCTCACAGTACTCAGCACAAAGTTTGTCCCACCACAAATTCCAATGGCCTCCTACCTTTTCTCATTCCAAATTTAACATAGCTAAAGGTTAGGAAAAGAATCAAGTGCAGTCACAGCAGCCATGCAGACAAAACATCTCACACCTTCAGTTTCCACAGTTACTAATCTACTTCATTTAGTCTGCAAGAACAAAGACAACCTACACATTTCATTACAAGCTCAAAAATGGCTACTAAGTACCTTTCTGTACATTTTTACAGCTCAAGAGAACACTTTTCTACTTTGAATATATCCCACAATTTTAAATCTGACTAGCAGTTCTGTTTATTACATAAATAGTTGATCTTGTTTACAGTGCACAAGCACAAAGTTTCCTCCCATAAGCAAAACAACACTAAATGATCATTTTGTTTGAAATGGATGTTGCCACCTTTCAATATTTTCATCAGTATCATTAATCTAGTGACATGAAACTGGTTTAACTGTTAGGTTTCCTTAAAAGGTTCTTTCTCCCTGAAAACACCCATAGCGCTGCGAGTCCCAACAACCTTACTGCTCCAACTTAAGGAATGACATACCTGATAGTTGTATGCTGGCTGATATCCTACAGGAACTTGCTGCTGTATCAATAAAGCTGGTGAACTGTATGCATACGTCTACAAAACAAAAGTTGTTTTTTTAATTCAAGTTCAAAGGAAGGTGTTATGGTATCTGCTGTGACTAGCACAAGCGACCCTACAAAGGCAGCAAAAAACAAGGATTTGCTTTGGTAGGAGATAAGAGTACCACGCCAACTTCTACTTGAAAACACTGGATTTTAAAGCCTGTGGTCTATTTCAATAAGACAATAACACAGTAAATATCTGGATGCATGACAAGCAGCAAGTCCACTGAAGAACTATTATTTAATTGAATGCTCTACCTACAAGAGTTCTTATTTTCAAAATCATAAGTGTAGCATCTTCCTGCATTTTGTTTTATAAAGAATGATTAAATTAATTTTTCAGGCCTGTTGGGAGTTTAAATACTTTTAAATTAAGACCTTTATTGGGAAATACAAGACAAAAATGAGCAGGTAAGATGAGACTGGAACCTTTATACGGATTTGAGAAGGTGTACATAGCTTACACTTTCATGAACATTGAACTACAATTCCCAAACAGCAGCACAAATAACCTTACCTGTACATACTGAGTTAGCGGGCTCACCACAGCTTGAGGCTGCACGTAGGTCTCTGTATTTTGGTTACTCCATACACTGTGGAATTGTGGTGCAGGAGGATTGAAAGCTAATGGTCTAGGCTGCACATAAGAACCTTGTTTTAAGACAAAAAAAAAAAACATTAAAACATTTTAAGGAGCATTTCATAAATATTTGAATTCAACATGCAAAAAACTTTTCAACATTTTGACTTTTAAATTCAGCTCAGTGACTTAACCATACTGCATTTTCAGCTACTGTGCTCCCAATCTTCATTCAATTTTATAATCAAAACTGTACACCCCACAAACAGCGAGGCTGTGATTTAGAGCTGACATCATGTGCAACATGCACACTACACTGAAAAAAAAAAGGACTTGCAAGAACACTGATGTTTAATTACAGAAAAACTAAACTTATCATCTCACTTCATATATACTTACACAAGTTTTGTTGTTTTCTAATTGCTGGTCCCAGTTTCAGCCTTTTACCATGGACACTGATCTGTGACTGAAAAATAAGTTACTCCATAAGTTGGAGAATAAGTAAGGTGGGTGGTCAGTTTAACTTCCAGGAAACCATAATTTATTTCCATACTACAGTATCACCAACTCACATACAGTTTCAAAGAGCCTCCATCTTCCTTCTTTTCCTTCTTTCTAAGCCTTTTACCTTTAATCTCCTGTAATGCTCTCTGTATCCATTCAGGAACTTCACAAACCTTGTATCCTTAAATTACTTTAATTAGAGACTGCCAGCCTTCATTCTGTTTTATGCACACTGTCCAAGCCAATCTCTGTTCTATTACTGCCTCCATATGCAGCCACTTTTCTTCCCCCAAATCCTCCAAAAGACCCAAGACTTCAAATCACACCAATACCAGGACTACATTAATTTTGTTTCTGACTTAATATACAAAAAGCATGCAGCAACAGCAGCAGATATTTGTTTTAGTTTCAGCTGGGACAGGGTTGCTTTCCTTCAGTGTCTAGTATGCTGCTTTGTTTTGGTTTTAGGAAAAATCTACACTGACTGAGACATACTGATGTTTCCAGCTGTTGCATGGAAACATCATGGAAACATCACTGCATCCAGTGCTGCATGGAACCATTTTAGTTTTCTCAGCTTCTCCTACTGTCCTGCCACCAGTGGCACTGCAGGGGACACAAGGAGCTGGGATGGCGCAGAATCAGGACAACTGACCTGAACTTGCTAAAGGAATATTCTGTAACATATGATATCATGTACAACAAAAGTATGAAAAGGGGAGAAATTCATCAGGCAGCCTGCCACTGCTCAGGGACCAGCTGGGCATCACCTGGTGGGTGGTGAGCATTGCTTGTGCATCACTTGTCTTTTATATACACATGTAAAGGGTAACAGTTACATATACACACACAATTATCACAACTGGTACCCATTTTTCCTTTTCCTATTCTCTTAGTTAATAGCTTTCCTCTCAAGTCACAAGCTCTACTTTGTGGTGCTTTTTTTGGGTTGGTTATTCTTTTTTTTAATTATCTACCCATAATGCTGGGGAGGAGTGCAGTGACTAAAATACAATGAGGTACTCATTAATTCATTGGGTTAAGTCACAACAATATTTAAGCACATTTACTTCAGGGCAGTTCTAGTCTTTCTTTTTTCTTTTTACTTTCCTCAGTAGGACTGTTTTCCCCTAACCACACCTACAACTTCATAGAGAAGGTTCTTCTGACAACTTGACAAAGAACTTACTTCTACTATTTTTTGAACATCCACAGTGTCCAGGAATGAAACAAATCCATACCTGAAAAGAAAAAAAATATATCATTCAACTACTACGTTTTGATTTTTTTTGGTAGCTGTTAGTTTTTTTCTTTTTAAACTAAAACAGTTAAAAGAACATTAACTGGTATTAACAGGACATTAATATATAATTCAGCATCAAAGTGCATTTGCTGCTGACAGCAAACTGGGCAAAATGAAAGGAATTAAATGCCAGATTCAATATTCTCCCATTAAAGTTACTCAAATGAGTTCTGTTGTTAATATTAGTAGCACCAAAAACCCAAAAGCTCCACTAATTATGATGCACTAAGTTCTGTACTTATTGCAAAGGCTTGAATCAAAGGAGGAACTACAGGAATAATTGCACTACTGGAGGAAGCGATCCCAAAAGAGGTTTTCAATTTATCTCAGTACCTGTTGTTTATTTAAGCCTTAATATTGGAGACAATACTCAGAGCTGTAGAGTATGTCAATTGATGGAATATGCAATTTACCAATGATCAGAACATATGCTTGCTAATCACAGATTAGAATTTACCACAAAGACCAGGCAAGGGTCATTAAGCTCAATATTTTCAGCTCATTGCCTATGAAAAAGAAACGATACTTTTTAGAATCTGCTCAGAGTAACAGAAAACAATTAGCACACCTTTAGAGGTGAAGTCTTCCTTGCAAAACACGTCTAATTTGAAAGCTGGGAGAGCCTTCCTCTGAACTCAACTGGGCAGAGTCCAAACATCTTCACTTAAGTTCTTCACTATAGATCAAAGTTCCTTCTACATACCCAATGGGAATTCTCTGTAACTTTCTACCATCTCTTAAGTTTCACTCACCACCTGAAACAGTTTGGTTGCCTCTAACTTACCCCTGAGCAATCAAAGACTGCAGCCCAACCGCCCCAATGAAAGTCTACTCCCTCTCTCAGTCACATCAGTGGTATTACACCGATGCTTAACTGCTGTGGCCATCAGAAAAAGTCAACAAGTTTCAACCTCTGAAAGAACAGTCTTCACAAGCATCCACTAAGTTTTATGCTTTGCTCCCATTGGTTAAGTGACAGTAACACTATTTTCCCTCAACAGGTACACCAACAACATAAAATCTGTCCTGTTCTCAACTGTAAGACTGAACAGATTTAAAGATCAGTCTAGTTTTACATGTTTCACTTCAATTCACCTTAACTTGAAAGGCTTAAGCATGGTAAGCGAGCAACTACTGATCAACAGACAACATTCATGTTAGGATTACATCCATATAAGCAGTAAGTAATGACATTCTGCTCACCCTTTGGAAACACCAGTTCTGTCAGTGATTATTTTCACTTCCTTCACAGTACCATACTGTTCAAAGTAACTCCGAATTTCTGCTTCATTCATCTAAAAGAAACAAAGTCTTGAACTACTTCACAGATACAGCGAACTGTTACAGCTGAGTTTAAAAAAATCTTATTTGTCAGTTTCAAAGTTCTCTTACCACAATGCATTATTTCAAGATCAGTAAAGACTCAATTAAGAAAGCCCTCCAGAAGTTAAAATTCCTATTTCTTTCCCACTAAAGCATATCATACATAGTTTAAAAACATTGAAAGCATATAAATACCCTTATATCAATTCCACCAACAAAGACAGTATTTGGCATGATTTTTCCTTCTGGTAAAACATATCCTTGGCAGGTTGTTGACAGATGGGTATTATCCTCTGAGACACTTCCACACTGGGCTTCTGTATTTGCAGACTGAAAAGGTTAAACAGGAACATCTCAGTCACATTATAATATGCTTCTAGGTAAGCCCTCATCTAGATACAGTTTGAGACCACAAATATCAATAGCATCTCTCCAGTTATATAAAGGAAGTACTTACTGCAAATGGAACATTCATATGGACAAGTTTGAACCAACTCTTCTTTGAGGCTAAGACTTCAGATCTAGACTCCAGCTAGGCTACACTAAGCAGCCTTGCCTGACTGGAAGCCTCACAACCATTGTTGCTACCACCCAACTTACAAGGAGAGCCCAAAAATTATTCACCTCAAAGTTTTACACAATTCCTTTTAGATACAAGCAAAAAAATTCTTCAATTCTTTACTGTGAATTGATTATCCAGTGAATAAATTCCATCATTTTCCTGATCAAAAGCCTGAAATGCTCAACAAGTGAGTAAAGCTTATGAAACTCCTTGGAACAATGGTACAGAGTTGTACTACAATTTAACTGTGAGATAGATAACACAATCTTGATTGAATATTCACACCATTTACCTGCACTTCAGAAAATAAGTTTTAGTCAATTTAACTACAAGAGAAATAAGAATTACTGTGAACCTGTGTCAGAGTGGCAAGCACCAGAGCACTGCACGTATCTGCATGGTGTCATGCAGTAACCACAGCCAACATGTGCTCTGCACACCCACATTCCACACACACCTTTTGATTTGAACCAAACTCACATCTCAAAGTTTCTCATTCAATTCAGATAAGAGGAAAACGGATTATGGATTAATGTTTATAGAGGGAATCATTTGCTCACACAGACTACATGCAATTCCATTTCTTGTTGCTGATGCCACCAAGATGTGTCCCATACTCTGAAACACACTCCAAACATTACACAAAAATATTTACAAATGCACGACCATACAGAAGAGACTTTGGTTCCTCATCTTAACTGAATAAATGATTCTACGTACGTGCCATTCTTTACCTACCTTGTAGAAAAAAACTACTTTGACCATCTCAGTAGTGCTCATTTCTCTGTATCAAGACAGATCAAAACATTAATAACTTTTTCCTTACAGCTCAACTGGTGTGGCATTACCCCTATTTCAGATAGGCAGATCTTTTGATTTAGTTGAGGTTACTAATACTTTGAAACCTACTAATAATTTACAATCACTAGCACCCATTTTTCAATGTAACAAATTATATGTTTAACACAGAGTTATTTAAACTGCAGCTGCAAATGATCAATGTTCATTCAAATTGGACATCCAATAAGGCAGTAAGAAAATTACAAGAACCAATCTGTCCATGTGGCACAATTCAACCAGCAATTAAGAAATGCCAAAAGTAGAATTCAGCTTTCCACAAGTATGATTTCAGAATGACTGAATCAAATTAACGAGACAACCCCTAAAAAGCAAAGACAATTTGCCACATCTCTTCTCTTACACCTCTTCTGCACAAGATCTAACAGCTGTCAGTTCACACTAAGCTTAGTTTCTAAGAAAGAATAGCATTGAGATCAAGTTTTGACCAGATTAGTATTGTGTTATTTTAGACAACAGAATCAGCTTACTGTGCTATCAGATAAGCATCAGATCCACCTGAGATTCAGCGGATGCAGAAGAAATGCAGATGGAAAATACCCATTCTGAGAGGCACAGTTCAACAGCATCTCACGAAGCTGGACCTTGAAGTACCTGGCTCCATCACATCCAGTACCACGTTCTTGTATGTAGCTCATTTACTTCACCAACTATATGCTATCGACTGGAAACTGTGTAGTAGATTACTTCTGTTGTATGCAGATAAAGAACAGTCCTCCCCCTTCCTTCTTATTGTACCAGGACAGCTTTTATACCACTGCAAAGGGAATAGGGCCCTACACGTCACAAGCGAAAAATGGTTGCAATTTTCAGATACATCTGCTTCTGATCCAATCTCATTCCATAGTTGTGTAAACACTTGCTCTAGCATGAGAGCACATCACAGCAAGAAGAAAATAAGAGGAGAGCTGGAGACCACTTATTTGATCATACCCCCAGATAAACAACATTTTAACTCAAACATGAGACCAACTCTACAGCTGACCTGTTAACGTCTGTTCCCTCTTTTTGGACCTGTTTCAGTGACCGAAGCTCAAAGAAAGCATTCACTCGGCTGTGAAAGTTCTCTGGCAACTTTAAGCAGGAAGTAGCTCACAGCAAATGCACCCAGGAGAGCCAGAATCAGCACAAGAAAGTGGGTCGGCATACACATACTGCTGACAAGCAGGTAAAAAACAGTCTTGGCTACCATGGAAGCACATCGTTAGTTTCTCACAATAACATTGCAGGATAAAACTTTCAAAGAAAATACAGCTCTTTAACCCTTCTTCACATTAAATATCTAAAGGGGCAAATAGGCTCCTTAGGCACTGTGACAAACATTTCAATATCAAAAATAAGCTTTAAGAGGCTTTAATACACTTATTTCTCAGAACATAAAAAGGAGCTACTGATGAACATGATGAAAAAGTTATAGTACGAAGACACGAAACAGCGTCTTTTTCCTTTTGAATTTACTTTAGAAGTCTTCAGTACTACAATGGAAAACTTCTGTAAAATCAAACAAAGCATCACCCTTATTTTATCAGCATAAAATGTTATTGTCATTTTAATACCCAAAGCTGCCTTACTTCTGTGCATACTACAGGCAAACCGCACTGCTGCTGGATCAGTATCCAAAGCCATTTCCAATTCCCAAAACTGGAAAAAACGCTACACTTAAACAGATGAATTATGTACCATGAAGTACCATGAAGCGCCAGTTGAATCATAGGATAACCCTAGCTGCAGAAGACCCGTAAGGATCACCGAGTGCAACTAAAGTGACCCAATCATTCAAAAATACCTTAAGCAGAGCTTCTCTATCTCCGCAGCTCACAAAGCAAATTTGAAAACCAGTTTCCAGGTGTGAGGAGACTCACGGTTTATTCAGTTTTTCAACCTACTTAAATTTCTTCCTCCCTACCCCTTTTCCCCTATCACAAGGGGAATTAAGTAATTTACTCTTCGCACTGTTTCACAGAGCGTCGACTTCAAGGCAGGAAAATGGAATAACCCCTGAATTACAGCAGGGGTCGGTAAACAAAGAGGTAGAAGTGCCTGAGTGATGCCCGCAACTGCGTCTGGGGAAAGAAAGCCTTTATTTTTCCTCTGGCCACAGAAGCACTGCTTCCCGATGTCTCGGATTGCTTCCTCCCTGAACTCACACGGGGTTTATTTAAAATAAGAGGCATACAGCGCTGTATTCACGCCCGCTACCCGCCTACGGTCGCCATGGCAGCCGCTGCGGAAGGAGAAGATGGCGGCGGCTCCGGGGCGTTGCGTCCGGCCGGAGGCAGCAGGGGGAGCCACGCAGCAGCGCTGCTCAACTCCGCTACCCGGGGCTGCCTGCGAGCCGCTGAGGTGTCAGCCTTACAATAGCAGATACCGTTCTTAATGGAAAAAAAAAAAAAAAAAAAGGCCGAAAATAAGGAATCTCTTTTAAAGCAGTGCTGCCTGCAAACAGTTTCAGCTTTTCAGCTGCCTGCTCATATACTAGAGCACAGTCACCTCGATAGGAACGCTTTACGGCTGCCTTCCCTGCACACGTTTAGCACCAACCAGAACTGTACCCGGATCCGGCGACACCAGGCTTCGCCCCAACGGGGACCACATCAGGCAGAATATTCTCGAAGACGAAGGGCACCTTGCACGGAACGGGCACGTGCGGGGCCGGGCAGCATCACCGCGGAGCGCTGCCGGAAACCGCCGGGTGGGGCCGGCGCTCCGAAGAGACAACGGTCCGCTCGGGCGGCTTAACAGCTCGGCGCCGGGAAACGGGCTAACAAAAAGGGCTAAGGGAGGAAATGCCAAAAGGCTGAGGACAGCCGGAACTGATGGAGAGCCCACGGTAGCAGGGCAAGGCGTCACGCCGCGCCCAAACAGATCGGAGGCGGCGGATAGAAGGGCCGTGACTGTGCCCGGAGTCACAAAATGGCCGCTCGCAGCACGACGCGTCTTCACGTCTCGAAGTCCTCACACCACGGCTCCGACCACGACACCAACTCACGCCTCAGCCTTATTTTATTATCATTTTCCCGCAGTATCACTAAAATTCACACCCTAACGTGTACGACTCTAGAACCTATTGTAAAAGGCAGTAATTCTCGGGGGCTCCGCACGGCGCTGTGAGGCTGCAGCGCCACAGCAGCTGGGATACCGGTCCCCCACCCCGCCACTGCCGCTATGCTGCCCCCCGGACCAGCGCACCTCACAGCCCGCTCTCCACCCGCCCGACCACCGTTCCCCCGTTATCCCCCGCCCGACTCACCATCGTTCCCCGGAGCTGTGACAGCACCCACACACTCAAAAACAAACGAGGCCTTTAAGACAATAGGAGCGTTGGGAAAACAGACGCTGAAGAACCCCAATTTTTTTTTTCTTTTTTTTTTCCCCCCCCCCTTCTTTTCTTTCTTACAGGGGAAGGGGGTGGGGTGTGAAAGAAGCAGCTGCTTTCGACGGCCGCTCTTCTCCTTAAGTAGACCCCGAGGGAAGGGGCGGGGAAAGCCCCACCCGCCCCGCTGACCTGGCCTGGTCCGGCCCGCGCCACACGGCGGCCGTGTGGGGAGGGTTCAGCCGTCGGTGTGTTTCGGGAGAGGGCTGCAGACGAAGAGCGCCGTAACTTTTTCCTTTGTTAGGAGATTAGGTAGGGCCATTGTTTGAGGCCCTGCTGTTGAGAGAGCGTAGTGGTAGCGCCTTTCTGTCAGAAGAGCTGCGTTATATGCCCGGGAGGCTTTGATTAGGGTTGCGCACTTTGAGGTAAAGCTGAACATTTTAGCCATGTTTTCTCACAACGACGTTATATGGATACTCCGGAGCAGGCTGGTTCCATTACACCATAATGCCTGTTGTCTCCTCACTGGGCTGGTAAGATCTTTCTAGAAGTAAACGTCTCTGGAAGCTTTTCTTTTTCAATGTTAATAAGGTGCTTCCACTGCCTTTGGAAGTTGGTTTTGAATACTCATTGTTTTCTTCTGTTGAGAATATATCTAGATTTTCAGATGCTTCTAGGGGAGGAAACTTCATGGATGCTGTGACAAAATCAACTCCTGACTGTGCTAGCTTAGCAACATTGTGTAAACGTCAAAGGTATAAGACTGATTAATCCAGGAGAAAAAAAAAGTCCGAAGTTAAACTGATAACTGGCGTGCATATAACAAGCAAGCTGCTTTCTCACATGTGACTTTATTTGGTCTAATTCCCCTATCGTTTTTAAAAGTGTACCTCATGTGCACCTTTTTGGATGCTGACACTAATAATCCAGAATAGCTTGCTGCACCAGATATACTTGGACCCAGAGTTGGTTTAGAAGAAGCTCTTATAAAAAGGTTATATTTATGTTCACTATAGGAGGAATTTTGATAAAGCTAGTGGGGCTACCATACTATCTAAACACAGGCATCTGCATAGGTTTTCATGCAACAAATGTCCTTTTAATAGAATCAAAAATGATTTGTGTTGGAAAGGACCCTCGAAGACATTCTAGTCCATCCTCCTTGTCATGGGCAGGGACATCTTTCACTACAGCATGTTGCTCAAAGCACTGACCAACCCAAGTAGGAACACTTCTAATGATGGGACACACAAAGCCTCTAGGCAACCTGTCCAAGTGTCTCACCACCCTCATCACCGGGGAAGGAAAAAGAAGAAACAAAAAAAAGGATGATCTACAACACTGCATCAGCTCTTTTCCATTTTTGTTTCAAATGGCTGAAACCTTGAAAATAAAATCCAACAGTGAAAGGAAAATACCTTTTTCAATTAAATAGATTCGTATTTGATTTCAAGAGTGGCAACACATTAGTACCATTATTTCTTAAGCACAAAAAGAGTAAATCTGCTTGTAATAGCTGCTGAAACTAAGCTTGTTTCACTATGCCAAGATAGAGCAGACACCAGGTTGGGTTGGTTTTTTTTTTGTTGTTGTTGTTGTTGTTCTGGAGGGGGGAGGAGTGGAGGGCAATTGCCGTCTTTACACCTCTATTATGGCCCTAACTAGAAGCATTCTTAAGGAACAGTTATCTCCTGCTTGCTGTTAAGAGGAAGATACCTGTCTTCGAAGGAGTGCTACAAATACTACTTTCAAAAAAATATGTATAGATAGATAGATAGCAAGCTAGTTTTGAGGCATCCTCTTGAAAAGGGTTCAGTATTTCTGTAGATACAATAGCTGAGGTAGGAAGGAACTTTAAGAGGTCATCTGGTTCAATCTGGTCATCTGGTTCAGCCCACTCCAGTAGGGATGCCCAGAGTAGGCTGCCTTGGTCTATATCGAGGTGGCTTTTGAGTCTCTGCAGGGAGGAGACTCCACAGCCTCTGGGTAACCTTTGCCAGTGTTCCATGACGTGTATAGTCAAAAAGCGTTTCTGATTTTCAGACATCATCTCTTGCGTTCCAGTTCATGCTCATTGCCTCTTGTCCTGGCACTTGCCACCACTGAGAAGAACCCGACTCCAAATTCTTTCTCTCTTCAGGTTTATACATGTCAAAAGGTCACCCTGAGCCTTCTCTTTCGACTATAAAGCCCCAGCTCTGCCAGCCTCCCCTTATAGGAGTGGTGCTCCAGTCCCTTTATCATCTTGTTAGCTCTTTGTTGGTCTTTCTCCAGTGTGTCTCCCTTGTACCGGGGAGCCTGAAACTGAATACAGCACTCCAGGTGTGACCTCACCAGTGCTGACTAGAGGAGAAGGATCACCTCTCTTAACCTGCTGACAATGTTTTGCCTAATGCAGCCCAGGATATCATTAGTCTTCATAGCAAGGGCACAGTGCTGACTCATGTTCAACTTGGTGTCCACCAGGACCCCAAGATCCTTGTCTGCAAAGCTACTTTCCAGCTGGGTGTCCTCCCCAGGTGCAAGACTTTGTTGTGTTTTATGAGATTCTTAAAAAAATACAGTAAATTTCTGGATGTGTAAACTTCATGAAAAATTAATCATAGAAACATAGAATATCCTCTCCTCATACATCTTGCCCTCTAGACTCTTCCCCATCTTTGCAGCCCTCTTTTGGACACTTTCTAATTGCTTTCTGTCCTTCTTACATTGTGGTACCCAAACCTGCACCCAATGCTCGAGGTGAGGCTGCACAGTGCAGGGCTGAGAGGCACAGCCCCTTCCCTCATGCACAGACCATGCTGGGCCTGATGCAACCCAGGGTATAGTTGGCCCCTTGGGCTGCCAGAGTACACTGCTAACTTAGATTCAACTTGTCGTCAACCAGAACCCCCAAATCCTTTAGTGTGGGACTGCTCTCCAGTCTCTAGTTATATTTTATCTCCTTGACTTGGATGAAAATGAGAATATTATTTTGAACATTAATTTAATGACTTGTCATGGGAATTCCTTAAGGGGTTGTTTTTCTAGAAACTGCAATATTTTAGAACACTTTAATTAGCCTGATAATAAATTAAACTTGATACAGTAGGCACACAATAATTCAGTGAAAATTCAGCATCTAAACCATAATACTTGAGTAACCCATAATCTCAGCTGGGGCAATGCTGAAGTCATCACATCAGTTTGTTCTGTGGTCAAGATTATATTTAACACTAGCAATTCACTGTGATTAGTTTTAGGTATTTAAATGCTGATTATTTAATTAAATTTAACCTGAATTACTTTCCTGCTGAAGAAAGGGTCTCTGATTTAATTTGTACTATAGCATGTGGAGTGACTGTGAAAAAATATTGTTTTGTACAGATGTGAAATATTCTTAATCCAAACGTTCTGTATGAACAAATTGTACAAGTACAGAGGAACATTTAAAGATGGCTCTGTATGGTCAGATCAGAAGTTGCTCTTTGTTTGCAAGAACCTGCAGGAGCGCTCCAAGAATGAATGCAAAAACAGCCAGAACACAGTGATTTTTTTCCTTGTCATTTCTCCTTGGCCACTGAGAAAGCTTTATAGTTTTTGATAACACGTGATCTTTCCTGAAAGTTTTTCTGACCATTTCTGAACTAAACATGGGCATGCAGAGCAGTTTGGCACTGAGTAAACTGAGTAAACTAAGTAAGCAGGCATTGTTTGGAAAAAGTACTTAAGCTTTCAGTGTCTAAAAGGGGGCTGTAAGAAAGAAGGAACAGACTCTTTAGCGGAGTCTGTTGTGATACGAGGAAGGGAAATGGTTTCAAACTGGAAGAGGGCAGATTTAGATTGGCTACAAAAAAACCGATTTTTACGATAAGGGTGGTGAGGCACTGAAATAAGTTGACCAGGGAGGTGGTAGAGTCCCTGGGGGCGTTCAAGGTCAGGCTGACTGGAGCTCTGAGCAACTTGGTCTGGCTGGTGATGTCCCAGTTCACTGCAGGGCAGTGGGACTAGGTGACCTCTATGGATCCCTTCCAACTCAAACGATTCTATGATTCTATGATTTTTTTTTCTGATAATTAGTTTGATCTCATTCATGAGATCACATCCAAGACTGGAGTTCTTCTCCTTACCGATGCCATTTGTGACCTTATAGACTGTTGTCATATCTACCTCCAGTTGTCTAGCTTTCAGACTGAAAATCTGTGCACTGTCTTTGCTCTTCTCCTCAGGGCAACGGCTGCTAGAATTGAGTGTCAGCACCAGCCTGTGACTTGTTCAGCCTCTCACAGGGTAGCAGCTCACATTTCTGTTTAAACAGATTCCCCGCACTCCTCCCCTCTTCCCCCCTACCCCCACCCCTTGCTGCCCTGCGTGGCCTGCTCATGTGCTCAAGCAAGGCTTCATCTGCAGTGCGTTATCTTTCATTTAACGCCCAAGGTTTTGTGCTACTCTAGAACAGAAATCTGGAATTGCTTAAGCGTGACAAGACCACTGAATGAGCTGCAGCTCAGAAGTAGGTACATCTAGGTCTTTTCCTTCAAGTGAGTCCCTAAAAAGGTGTTTAAGCCCAAAAGACTGACTTTATTTGAACTAGTAATTAAACAGGACAGGGATTTTAATTGTGTTAAAGACTATTATTCATTCACTCATTTATTTACGTATTTAAAGCAGTCTCCCCCTTGCTGCATCCTTATTTCCATACTTAATCAGCTTTGAGACCTGGGAAGCCACTGAACTGATTGGAACTGAGCAGGTAGGCAAGTGCTGCTGTGAATTACAAGTTGTACACACCTCAAAGTTTTAGAAGTAGGGTTTTTTTTGCACTGCAAGAGGAGTCTTGAGTGTCTGCTTTTCTCACCACCTCTTGTGTAACCCTGCAAACTTCTTTCTTGAGCATGCCAAGAAGTGTGAGTAGCTTAGTGTCTCATCTCTTGGGGAGCTTCACCTCATACAGTGCCTCTCCTGTCAACAGAATGCAGAAGCTAAAACAGGGATGTAAGTGCTGTCCAACACACAAAGGTTTCACTCAGTATGATGGCATTACTAATGTAATTCTGTCGATTCCTAGCAGAGCAACACCCTTCCATGTGTTATATAAGAAAGGAGGAAAAAGCAG